GCTACTTTATTCACTCATGGACAAGTCACAGCCACCACTGCTTTTTCACTCTTCAAAAATATCCAAAAAGTAGTTAAGATAACCTCCTCAGTAGCATGCAATGCAACATATGATTCTGTTCCTAATTCTCCTAGCTAATTGTGACCCTGTGCCTTACTAATTATCTTGTGTTATCAAATATATGGAGTATGGTTGAGTCAAAAAATCTGTTTATATGATCAGGAGCATGTACCAAGTTTAGAGCCCTGATGTCCTCTCACCACATATGCAACAGAGACATGAGGACGTTCTCCAGGGCTTTAAGATAGCGTTGGAGAGAGGGTGTGCTACATCCCTCTGAGCAGCACTGTACATTGTGGAATTACTAGGTCATGAAGGATTAATTGCATCTTACGAGTTGGTTTGGATCTCTTCCTAATAGCTTTGTGTGCATGTACTTTATTGATCAGATAGAGTAGTCAAGTGTACGGTTATGTTGATTCTGTTAATGGCACCCCGTAGGCTTTGGCAGAAGGAGGGTGCTGTGTAAATATTATGGCCGTTTTTGTTGAGAGTTAGGCTGGGTCTCACTAGTGCCTGCATTGGCACATGGATGTGTCAACAGGAAGGGAAAGTGGGGCTTCATCTTCCAAGAGATGGCCCTAGGCCATTTTCACAGATCTTTACAGGGAAAAAAAAAAAAAAAAAAAAAAAAGTGTATGGGAGACATTTTAAATGACTTTCCTGATGGGTTTCCTGATGGAAAGGAGGATGTATGAAAAAGATAGGATTCTCTCTGGAGGAGGGCACTGGAACTGCTGTACAGAGTACTGTGGAAGCCTGGAGACTGCCTGTGTGAGCTGTAGTGTTCATTGCTATAGTCTGTCGTGGCTGAGAATAAAGATCAATGGGCCCCATTTGGCCCAGAACTCGGTCACTCATCTGTCCAACTTCTAATAGCTTGGTGCTCTCATGTTCAGCTTTTTAATTTGCCTTCTGATGAAAAGGAGACTTGTTTTTCTGGTACTAATATTTAAAGTGCCTTATAATTTGTTTCTTCTATTGGAGCCAATTAATTCTTGATTCTATTGGAGACAATTAATTCTTGATAAGCTCAGCTTTCCACCCCTCTTGATATCCTTATGGGGAGCAGATCAGTCTGGAGATAGAAATGGGAATTTCCAGCTCCATGGAATTTATCTCCGAATGACTTTGAAACTCCTCAGAGCAACATGCACAGCTCTCCTGCTTGAATATTTGTTTAAAAGATAATTTAAAAAGAGAAAATATTAGGGAATTGGGGAAAGAGAGATTTAAAATATTTCAAATCACTGTTGTTAAGAGGAGAAAACTGTGCAAAAAGATATATTACCACTGTTCCTTGCAGGCCAAAATGTGATCAGGAACCTGCTGGGAGTAGATGGGAGACTGAATAATTAATAACAGACCAGCTGAAATTCCCCAGCTACCCCATGATGAATGTGAGAGAACGGGATAAACAAGGAGTTTGGTAATCAGTGCATTTTCCCTCTGTAGAGCTTAGTCTTGAGCAGAAAGYGAACAGAAAAAAAATGGGTGTTTTAATTTCACCTCAAATGTGGTGATAAATAAAGTGTACAAGATAAGACCCTGTTGTATCACTAAGTTGTGCTTAGCGCAGACAGTATCATGTCTGGCTGGAGAGATTCCTTCAGTGTTGGAGATGTGGCAAGTTATGATCTGAAAATTGGATGTGATTAATGTCAGAGCCCTGACTATCTTGATTAGACACTGCTGAGTTTATCAGAAATAATGGCAGATGACACCGTGGCTACGTGGAA